GCTAAAAATTAGATATAATTATCTAAATAGTATTATATTATTATAATAAAATAATAGTTAAAGCTAATAATATATTATTATTATTTGGGAAATATAAAATATAACTAATATATTACTAATTATAACTAATTTTTCAAGAACTTTATATATATAAATTAGATAATTACTATTACTTATTATATAAAAGAATAAAGTTAAATATAATATAAAATATAATTAATTATTATATAATAAGAATACTATTTCTAGATTTATATATATAATATTATAGTAATATAACTCTTTATTTAATATAATAATATATAATTATATAAAAATACTAGTTATTTAATTAACTTTCGAAAATAGCTTATAAGCTTATTTAATCTATTTTTAAAAAACTATCTAATATTTATTTGAATTTACTTTTTATATTTGTTTTTTATCCGGCTATAAAATATTCTTTAATATAAAAAATATATTATAAAAGTTATAAGAAATTAAATAAATATATTAAAGCTCGGGATTATTATTAATTAATCTTTATAAGCTATATTATATATTATTAATATTAGATAAAAAGATATAAAACTTAATTAAGTTCTTTTATATAATTTCTATTATAGCTTATTTAATATTTTTAATTAACTAATTAGTTTTTACTTTCTTTATATTAATTTTTATATTTTTTTTTAATAATATAACTTTTTATTAATAAAAAAAGAAATATTCTTAATTCATTATTTTAATATATTTATAAATTTATTAATAATAATTTAAATATAGCTAGCTTTTAATATAACTTAAAGAACTTGCTTTTAAATATTTTATATATAGATTAGAAAAGATTATTTAAGAATTAATAATATATAAAAGGCTTGAATTATATTTTCTTAAAAAAGACTCTTTATTTTAATATTTCAAATATAAAGAAGTTAGTTATAAAAGTATAAATTACTATAGTAAAAAGCTTTATATTAGTTATATTAAAGGGCTTGAAAAAATTATTAATAGATTTATAATAACTAGTATTATATAGTTAATATAAATATGATTTTAGCCAAAGAAATTAGTTTTAGCTAAGGTTTCAAGCTTTAATTTAAACTAAGTTCGGATTTTAAAGCTCGGTATTTTAGTAATCTTAGCTATACCTAACTTATTTACTACTATACCTCACTTCCTTCCTTATGAGCCTAATTATAATAGTCTATATATACAGGGTTCAAAATTATTAATTCCATTAAAATTAGATATTAAAGCAGTATTTAATTAGGAGTTAACCACTCATAATACTCTATAAGTACTTGAACCTAATACTCCTGCTTTAAAATTAACTTATTAATCTATTCTTGAGGTATTCTGTCCCATTCCTCCTGTACTATCTCTTCCATTTCTGCTTCAGTTTGTGGCTGCTTTCGGCGGCATTAAAGAGCTTGCTTAATCCTCCTCCAGTACTTTTTAATTAGATTTATATCAGGGCTTATAGAAGGATATAGCATTAAAATAATGCCGTAATTTATATGAAACCTTTAATAGTAATTAGTTATCGACTTGTGGCCGTGAGCTGAGTTACTGTCCTCTATAATAAGGGCTCGGTAGCAGGGCAAAGGAGGTAAGTTATAGCTACAAAAGCTTCCAAAATAGGGGTGAGGTGTATTTTAAGGACCTGGGCAAGGTAATCCTTTTGCGTAAAGGCTCTCTTCTTGCCAGAACCATAAATAAATAATAAGTGTCACGATTCCCCGATGCCTCGCCAGATGCCAGATGCCTCCTAGGCGCACGTGACGCGGCCGCCTCGCTAGGGAAGTATGCTTGGAATGCACTGGAGATATTAGAAGGCTAAGCCCCTTCGGGACTAGCGCACTGTGGGGTGCATATACTCCCTCGCAGCCTCCTGTATTCTAGTTTTCCCTTCCTTAGCTTTGAATCGTCTTCGTAAGGGACCTTCTACCTTGCTTTCCAAGCCCTGAATGTCGTACCCGTAACAATAAGGGACTCTTATAACCATATCCAATTACTCCCCACGCGTTTACAGGCGTTATATGGCCCCGGTGAAACTAGTATTATATATATATATATATATAGGGTGGGTTCTCTCGCTCTTATTCCTCGTTACTCTATACTTTACTATTCTTCCCCTAACTAAAAATATAACCTCGTCTGACCATAAGACCTTAAGCCACTTCTTGTACCAGAATATATATATAATCGCCTAAAGGAGTCGACTAATAACTTGTGCAGCGGTAAGGTAGGGCTTTTGGCAAGCTATATATTAATAATACCCGCGTTAGTAAAGTCTTTATTAAAGGGTAGAGGCAGTAACCTTGAGTTTGAGTTCTAGAACTAAGTAATTATAGTCTAAATAACGCTGGTTGTAGTTCTCGGAGTAATACTCAATAATTACATCAACTTGCATATTACTAAGCTTCTTGGGTTTGCCTACTCGATTTGGGCGTTTTTGCTCAGGCGCCTTATATGCTAGGATCCGATTAATTGTCGTATTGCCGAGGTGGTAACGCTCTTGGAGCTAAAGTTTTGGCACCTTCCCAAACCAGTATAACTAGCGAATAGCTTTCTTGTACTTTGTAGGGATCTCAAAGCCCTTTTGGTAATCAAAATCGAGTGGGGGGGTAGAAGCCATAATTTAGAGTGTTTTTGGAAGATTTAGTAAGTGCGGTACGCTAAAATAAGGCCTGTATGTACAGACTACTGCGATTAGGCTCGTTAGCTTTAGATTCTTAAAACATTGAAATTATTAATCTGTATATCTTATTTCATTGCTTTATTTCTATTATTATAAGATTTAACTAAGTACTTTCTTTTAAGTATTATTTCTTGCTTCTTTTACTTTATTTTTTATTTTTTGAACCAATTATAATTATATAAGTATTTCTTATAATATTAGATAATATTTCAAGCTTTATTATTATTATAATAAATATAAACTACTTTATTATATTTATTAATTTTAGAGACTCTTTTAAATTAGGTAATAATAAAATTATTTTTAAATTAGATTAAGTAATACTAGCACGCATTTTATAAGGGGAGTTAAGTAATTGAAGCTATTATAAGTACTAAATCAAGAGTAATATTAATAACGTTTCTGGAAAGTTTTAAAGCTTTGCGAGAAATAATTACATAGGCTAAACCTACTAGAGCTAGTATGTCACGTGCTATAAAAAAAAAACTTAAAAATGCATTTTAACCATTATATTACATTTTTATATAATGGGGGTCCAAATTATATAATTTTTACATCACTAGCGTGGCTTGAGGGCTATGCAGGGGCAAACATTGCCAGGGTGGGGGAGGCGGCTTGAGACACTTGGATTTTACAAGAACCCGGTGGGTGGGATCCTGGCTGCCAGGCTGCTAACATCAGACCGAGCATTATTTCCTTTGAGACATGCCAGGTCAAGTGCCCCCGAGGGGAATTAATCATGACTATCACAACCAGTTTGTGTATGTTAACAGCTCCTCCATTTTTCAGTACCCGTTGGGACGACCATAACATAAGTTGGGGGTGTCAAAAGGTACGTGGAGGGCGCAGAAAACTTTCCCTTCCTCGACTTTGCAACCCGAATATCCTGGAGCCAAGTTATTCAGTTAAGTACATCCAGATTACCCCAGAATACACTCCCAGATGTAACAATTCTAATACTCCTGAATAACAAGATATAATGATTGGATGGACAGATATCGAATACGAGTAGTGAGGGTTCATGGTGGGGTTACTTGATCCCCGACGAAAGAATACTCCTATCCATAAACAAATCGGCTGTCTGTTAGTAAGTGCCCACAGAGCTCAAAAATAATACAATGATTTCTCATTATAAATGCTATATCATATGTGCATTCAGACACAAGTTGAAGCACAAAGTTCAGATCAGAGGCTATTTAACGGAGGGGTATTCTGTCGAGGTTGGGTACGGCGTGTCAACTTTACTATATCAAGAGGGCAATGCACGAACGAATCACGCTACTCATCCAGAATTCGGACTAACATCTAGTGCTGGAGATGAGTAACTTCTCACCCATACTCCCCTAGCCTTCTTTCCCAGCTACTGAACATTTGCGGGTATGACTCAAGTGGCTAATTGGTAATGATCCTGGGTGTGAACCAGCACGAACGGCTTTATCCCATGACCGAACTTCACACGTTGTACTTGGCGAAGGTCTTGAGAGATGGCATATGTTATGCTTCCACTGATATCAAGAGACTTCGTAGAGAACTGAGCACTCGGAGCGTTAAGCAAACTTAAGTAGAAGGAGAGAGAGGCACAGCCCAGAGAGAGAGCACGCACAAGAGTCGATGCTGAGGCAATGATCTGGCTGCTTGTAAAGCTGCCTGGGCTTCTTCAATGCAGCCAATGAGGTCCATACTTGGCATCCCGAATCGTGCATCGCTGAGCGAAATGTCGACTAGGCTCCCGATGCTGGCGGGAGCCTGCGTTCAGTGAAACGAGGCAATACAAACCGAAATCGGCTGTCACACACAGATGTGGAGGAGCAGGTTTGCAATGAAATAATTTCTTCCAGTTGCTATCTGCCACAAAGGAGTATGATGGTATGCTTCCACAGCCATGCCAGTGAAGATCTATCCCAGTGTCGCCCAATCCATCCATGCGCCCGCTAAAAGGCGCTCATATACAAACCATTATGACTCCTCTATCGAAGCCATCCTAAAGAATAAGCACTCGAAACCAAGACAGCAGGAAATCGTAGATCGTGGCAGAAGCTTTTGTGGGGGAAGTCGCAATGAAAGGGTATCGTTCAAGAATGCAAAACGTAATGTATGGGGTGTGCCTTCTGTGCACTGTATGTTCGCTGGACCACGGAATGCGTCTATGGACATGAGGAAGCCGCACGCCGGATGCTTTATCTAGGCCTTCAGAATTCGTGTCGGTGTCGTGTGCCGTCCATGCGAAAATCGTTGCATCGTGCTGACGCTTGCCCAGCTGTCATATGAGCCCGCTCGATCGTCTGGCTATCGTCTCGATGTGGCAGAGGTCAGGAAAGAGATTCGTATTTTTCGTGCGCGTGCGAGGGCTCGGTGATTCGCATGAGAGAAGGAGGTATGTCGTCACGTCGTCATCATCTATTAGAATGAAGAAATTAGCCTTCAAGGCCCACTAAAGAGATGACGAAAAGTGGAGGTAGCCAAGATGCTAACGCAAACTATAGAAAGCTTAAAACAACTGCGATACCCGAACACGACGTACCATCTACTCGTTGTTTTGCTTGGGGACGTCACCCGAAGCACAACTTTCCGGGACTGAGCAGTCCGCTGCACGTTCAGCAGCCTTTCCCTCCACCGTTGGCGTTGCTGGGATACTCGAGCAGGTCGATATCGTGGAAGCTGTGGTCCGTCTGGTGATTGACGAGAATATCGTATTTCCCGAGAAGTTGGTGGCATCACTGTCGTTGGTGTTGGACCTCCGGCTTGCGAAGTCGCCTTGAAGATCGCGCAATGGAGCATTGCGATCTGGTCTCTGCTGCCCAGTACGAGTACCGTGGTAGAAGGGGGAGCCATTGGGTTGCTGGGCCGAGGGATTCCAAGTGTCTGGTCTCTGCTGCCCAGCACCAGTACCCTGGTAGAAGGGGAAGCCATTGGGTTGCTGGGCCGAGGGATTCTGAGTGGCTGTGCCTGAGGTCCGCGCCGTCGGGTCTTGAGAAAGCCCAGTGGTCCCGGCCCATGTTCCACCCGCAGAGGATTGGGATCCAAGTCCGCTAGATGCATACAGGTTCGACGCCGTCGCTTTGTTCTGTTCATGAAATCTGTTGTCCTCTTGTGCGTCAAGCAATCTTTGTTCTACGCCAAGTCTGTCAGCGAAGTCTATTTTCTGTTTCGATGTGCGGTAGTGCATACCATTGGTTCTTTTGCTTCCAAATAGAGCGCCAAACGAGTTGTCTCCGATACTGGCCAACCCTGGCTCAGCTAAGCTAGCTTTCTCAACTTTTCCCAAGAATCTGTGACCGCCGTGGCTGCGGAGGAACGTGCGGCCAAGTATAATATCAAATCCATTGGTACCGTCGGAAAGCTCGAAAACTTTCAGTCTGACCACTTCGTTTAGACCGAGCTTGCTGTTGTACAGAGGCAGAAGGACGAAAAATTTTGGCACTTCCTTCCTGTTCTTGTCCAACGGGTTGGTATATGCTTTCAATTTCCGTTGGGGAATTGGAAACTCTTCGAAGTCGCCGATTCTGTCAAGTGCCAAACGGAAGATGAAGTTGGTTGGGGCTCCGGTATCAGTTGAAATCACAATGATACTAACGCGTCCATCTGGAGTCTTCGTCTGCGCTGTCCACGAGTATTCGTTCGACGCTTCACTGTCATCGCTTGACTCGGCATCGTTGGCAGAGGAAGTGCGATATGGCAATGTGAGCTCGAGGTTCCTTTGCGCATTGTTTCTTCTATTCGAGGTGTATGCGGGGCTTTGGAAAAGTAGTCCGGTGATGAAGGGATCTATGATCGTGATACCGTTCGGGTCTGAGTTTGCAGCTGTCGTATCGAGCTGGGCCTTCCCTTGGAAGCTTTGATCGGGAGGTGTACAGGTGTGTGCATCTGCCGCCAGCGTGGCACGAGCAGAGAGAAGATAGTCTGATGGGAGAATAGATGATGGTGATGCTTCTTGAGTGGAGGCGTCCTGAGGACACAAATCGTCATCCTTCGCTTGTTTGGCTCCCTGAGCAATGAGACTGCCCTCGCAGGCACTGTGACTATCACCAAGGGAAGTCATCGTGTCTGCGGACCGAGGAGCAGGCCCCTTGAGGTGGCATTCAGCAGAAGGTGTGGGTCGTCCTTTGGAAAAGGATGTTGTGAGCAAACGTCGGGAGGTGGAGCTAGCTGCTCTCCCGTGCTCCTCGCTTGAAATCTGCACCCGCGCAACAGCGCGATACCAGAATCGCCTGACTGATTGGCGGATTGCCCCTCGTTGATAAAAGGCGTGTTTTGTGTAGAATTGAAAATGGTGTCAATTGTGATGATGTGGAGGACTCCCTTTTTTGTGAAGATATGAACGATTCCAATTCCTGTTCTATCTATCAATTATCGGACTGAAAAGACGTGCTTAGGGCTTCATCTCTGAGTTCTGCGCTAGTCACGTTTAAAACTTGTTGGTCTTACGAATTTTTTGCCCCTCACTCATAAATTTCCAGCCTGGCAGGAAGATACTCGGGAATGCCGCCACGGTCAGTATCCCATCCGATGTCATTGAGCTTAAGGTCGGTCTATCTACAAAAAGCTTTCTCGTACACTATCAAGTTTATTCGCCTTCTGTGCAAAGCCTTGGAGAGAAATGGATGGATATCTGTTAAGGTTTTGCGAATGCCACAATGGAATACCTAGCGCCAGAGTCGGTCCAGGCAGAAACGCACCTGAAATGGTAAACATTCAGGCATGCAGTTATAGCCACACTCAACTCAATTGCCACCTCTATAACTGACGTATCATGCTTCTCCGCTTGTCTCTCTTCGGGAGGGCTCCCCAGCCGGTAGCAAGCTGCTCGTGGGGAGCCCCTTCAGAGCTCAGTTCAAACTCTGGAGCGTTATGCCAAACCTTTGCTAGGAAGTTGGTGTTTTATCTACAAAATACGTTAGTGATAAGCTCCTGTGACTTTAGGTATTTCACTGTGGCATTAGCAATCCCCATCTGTTATTGGCTGTCGAGAGGTGGTCGCTCCGTTCACAAGATTGGTTGTCCGGTGACAATCACGTGCTTACTATTTTCCTTGGCAACAGTGCTTTGCCTAATCTTCAAGGCTCCAAGTGAGCAAACCTCTGTGCTCAGCCTCACGCGCTTTGGCCAACCATCACGATACACATTCTTGGTCTTGCATCTCTCAAGCAGACGAACAACTTTATATAGAACAACACTTGATCCCGTGATCAGATGTCAGGCTATACGAAGTTGGCAACTTTCATGGTTGAGAAACACCATCCTATTTTGAAGAAGTATCAAAGCCTCGCCGTTCGGGATCTCTTGTATTTGCAAGCTGAGCTCTCCGAGTTGGAGTTCAGACATAATTCCATCGTTAAGAAAGATGCTCTCGAGGAAGACGAACGACAGTATTACGACCGGGACTGGATCCATCTAAAGACCTCTCTCGAAAGAGGCTTTGGTGGCGAGCAATGGGAGCTTGCCCTCGCCATCAGGCAGAAGTTGCGAGAGTACTGTGAGTCTAACTGCTCATCTTTCCGCAGTGGGAATTAATATCATTCAGATGCAGCTGTATCGCAATACTCCCAGATAGCCTCTCTTCGGCAGCCAAAGCCTTCTGAGCGCTCCGTGCTTCATGAATGGATTACGAGCACGCGCGGCGGTGCTTGTGGTTTCCTCGGCCGCGATCTTGGAGGGTTTCAGCCGCAGCAGCCGTCCGTCTATGAAGCCATTCACGAGAAGGATCTTGCTATCCTTTCAGATCGCCGTGGCGAAGAGGATTTGTTTACAGAATTCATCGAAGGTCCTGTGATGAGATTATACCATCGGTTTCGCCAGCACTCAAAAGTAAGTATACCATGTCAATATCTCCTTGATTTGTATGAACCAGAGCTAACTTTACCTCCGAGGCACCTGTTTCGCGTGATCTGGAAAATCCAGCTGTGGCTGAGAATCGAAGTAACTGGCATCACTACGACGATAGTAAAATAGAAAGAGTTACTAAGGTACTGGGAACAATATTTTCCTCGTTAGCACCGTTAGTATCCATTATCGTGTTATCTTTCATCAACAATTTGAAGATAAGGCTTGGTCTCGTTTGTGTATTTACATTCTTGTTTTCTGGTTGTCTGGCTATTGCTACGCAGGCACGGCGGGTAGAAGTCTTTGCTGCAACAGCTGCGTAGGTCATCCAAGTCAAACCCTCTTACCAAGTCAATTGCTGATAGAATCAAAGTTTCGCAAGCGTTCAGGTTGTTTTCATTGGAAGTTCTAATTCTATTATATAAGGATGGATTCCTCAAGAAATTATAAAACATTAAGACAACTTCCCAAACATATATTAGCGTGGCCATGTTGGTAATCTGCTGCATTCAATGCTGAACAGTGAGCCAAGGCAACGTGAGCAGAGGAACTTGAAACTTGAAACAGGTTTCAAGTTCAGTAGAATAGCTACTTCGCCGCGGCCCCCACCTCGACGTTGCAGCTTCGTCTCTCTCTCACGCCCGCTACTTGTGGTGTTAGAATTGATACCTCACAACAATAGTATCAGCAGACAGGCTGACGGTATTGAAGTGTCGAGTGACCATCTTCTGGAACAACCCTTGACTAACAAGTTCTTCACGATGCTCAGCAACCACAGCATCAAAGTACGCAGGTGTTGCAGACCTTTACTCTTTCTACGTACCTTCAAATCTTCTTTTCCTCGACCCCACAAACCTCTCAGCCCGTTCGAACTGGTTGTTTCCTGGCCCAGAAAACCAGATGCTGAGGTGTCTCGAGTTCGCCTCATCGATTTTTCTAGTCAAGGGCTTCTATGATGCGCTTTAGCGTGGCGCTGCATATCTGCCTGATAGGCAAAATCTGCATTACAACCTTGAACTCCGCAGGGAATACGGGATACTGTACTGAATAGATACGCCATGTCGTGGTGGAGAGAAGGATGAGAAACAACGTTTGTTGTTATGCGCAAACGCCAAATATGGCAGAAAACCGTGCTATGTATAGCCTTCCAAGAAAGGCCCCACGTATGGCTCTCCGGTACTAAGCCCCCCTCTTGAATATTTACAGAGGGTCCCCAAGTAACACCACTCCAGCACTGGCCAATTCAAGGGTCTGCAGCCAATAAAGGCTCTTGTGAGCACCTGATATTTCCTATTTTAGGGATATAAACGAGGCTTCAGGGTGGCGTTACCTAGGGACCCACTGTAATTATTCAAGGGGGGGGGGGGGGATAGTAGAGACCATTAAGTATGCCATTCGGATCAATGCCACTTTGATTGACCGGCAGTGTGTCAAAGAACTACTCATGCTACTCATACTACTTATGAATATTCATGAGTAGCGTGAGTAGAATATGAGTAGCGTAATGTCCTAAAAATTTGAGTAGAGTAGAGTATATACTCATGAGTAGTATGAGTAGTTATAAGTAGCCGTCACGTAACAATAATAAATTAAGATTTATTTAATAATAATTAAATAATATAGGTATTTATTAAGTAGCCCTAGTAAAGGTAAGTTAGGGCTTATATAAGACTAGCTAAATACTAATTTTCTATAATAATAAACTAGTTATGCTCTTTAGAATCTTGATTTCCCCTATCTTACTTACTAAGTAATGCTACTGCCTAATTGGGCAGAGACGTGGCGCTAGAGCGGCGCTAGACGGGAGGCTTACCTGATTAGGCTAGTCTGTTACGTATATATATCACGTGAGTACCTTCTCATACTACTCATACTACTCATGAGTAGCTTGAGTAGAGTATGAGTAGAGTATGAGTAGCGCTATCATTGGTTAAGTAGAGTATGAGTAGGACCCACTACTCTACTCTACTCTACTCATTTGACACACTGTTGACCGGTGAGTGATGTCTGGTGCCCAAGTCATTCTTGTGCCAGATGTCGACATTCGATCTGCACAAGCCGTCAGGTAAGTTTTTCCAGCTTTGCAGGGCATTAGCGCAAGGCAAATATAATCGATCTGTAGAGCAATAGTATATTATGACTAGGTACATTATTCGGTCTTCTGGTAATGATTTTGCTTATTAGAAAAGAAAAATATAGTTAATTTAATTCAAAAGCAATAAAAAAGATTAAAAATTACTATAATACTAATTAATATAAATTGTATTAATTAAAACTATATTATATACTCCAGAAATTAATTCTATATTCGCAAAATTATAATTTCTTTATTATTAGAGGAAATATAATATATAAGATTTTTTATTAAAATATTTTTATATTTTATATAATTTCTTTATTAAAATACTTTTATTATAAGAAGTATATATAATAATATATAAATAAATATTAGATATTATAGATTTAGTTTCTTATTTTAAATAAATCTTATATTAGAATTATATTTCCTAATTAAGTAAAGGGCTTTATATACTTGACTAAATACTAGAAAATATATAAAGAAATACTTCTAGCTTTAAAAAGAGGTATTAATTAGTTTTTAATTAGAATTAACTCTTGAAAATTAGTTATATTTATAAGTATTACTTTAAAACTTATTTATCTTAATTACTTATATATTACTTTATTATTATATATCTTATATTTTAATTAATTTACTCTTTAAGAAATAGTTTATTATAAAATAATTAAACTATTAATAATTAAAGTATTAACTAAAAGAAATACTTTTATTATTATTAGAATAATCTAATTAAATATTTAAAAATATATCTAGTTAAGTACTTTTAGTATTACTTAATTAGGAAAAAGAAATAAAACTTAAATATTATTAGAACTAACTAGTAAAATAATAATAATAAAGAAACTAATAGTAGCTTATTATTATATTATTAAATTAAAAGCAAAAATATAATAAAAAAAGAATCTAAAGAAGCTAGAAATTTAGATTTATTATTTTGAGAATATTCGAGTATTTAATATAAATCCTATAATACTTTTAATAATACTCTTAATTTATAAGGCTTTAAAAACCCGAGAATTACTAATTTATAAAAGAAAAAATATTAAGGAAGCCCAGAACTTCTTTTATTAAATAAAGCTAAAGTAATATAAAAATAGCGAAATTATTTAGGCTATAAATATAATAAAGATTATATATTATATTTCTTGCTTTAAAAATATAGCCAGTAATATTTAGAAATATAAAAAGAAATTAGTAAATATTAATATTATAAATTAGAAAACTTTTATTAAGTTTATAAAAGAATTTTATTTTAAATTTAAAGAACTATAATAATAATGCTTTTATTAAATTTAAAAACATAAAATAATAGTCAAATTAAAATATTTAGAACTTTATATTTGATTTAAATAACTTATTAAATAATTTAAAATATATGAGTTTATTATAAAAGTAAAATAATTTATTTAATAGCTTAAAGCAAGAAATTTAAAACAAGATTAATTATTAAAGAAATGCTTTATATAAAAGAAAAAAGCTTATATTTATATTTATAAAAACCGAGAATAACTTGAATTTATTTATTTAATAAAAGTATAATAATAAACTAATAAAATAATAAAAGAAAGGGAATTAGAAAAAAGAGAAAAGAAAAATATTCTTATTATAAAATTAATATAATTGAAATAATAAAAATATAATAGCAGAATTTAATATAATATTTATATTAGAATTTATAAAATTAAATAAAATTTGCTTTATTTATTAAAAAAAAGTTATTATATTATTATTTATTTAAATTAAAGAAAACCGATTTATTATAACTATAATAAATTTAATTATAAGGCATATAAGTATTTAAAACAAAAGAAGCCGGGAAATAAATATATCTTATAATAAATATATTTATTTATATTATAAAAGGCAAAGCTTTTAAAATTAAAATAATTATTAAAATAAAAAGAAAAGAATATAAAATTAGAATATTAGTTAATTCGAATATAAAGACTAATTATATAAAGAAAAAGCTAGCTTTAAATATAAGTATTTTATTAATATTAAAAGTAATTCTTTTAATTTTATTAAAAAAAAGATTTATTTATATAAAAATTTATAAGGTATTTATTAGTAGGTAATAAGATAATAGAATAAATTAGTGAGTTATGAAACTATAATATTAAATTTAGTATAGAACTAATCTCTATTTCTCTTATAAGGTTCAGGGAAGCCCTCTCTAAATAGAAGGCCCTAATAACATATATATAATTAGTAATTTATAAGCCTAATACTTATAATATAAATAGTAATTAGTTATAAAGTTAAAGGGCCTCTAATCTCTCTAATTAATACCCGTAATATCCGAGGTTTATTATATGCCCTTAAGTTACATATAACTCTATATATATTATAACTATACCTCTTTCCTAGAATCTTATCCCTAAGATTTATTAATTTATCCTAGTAAATATTTAATTATTTATTTATTTAATTAAGATAAACTTCTAGTATCTTGGGAGGTAGTTTTACTAATATAATCTAGATAATAGATATAAAAATTATTTAATTAGATTAGAGCTAAGTAAGCGAGAAGGAAAAATAATTATACTTCAGATATAGGGGCTAGCTAGTAATTATAATTTCGTTTGGGATCTGAGTATTCTAATTAGCTTAATTTAAAGTACTAAGGCACTATCTATAATAGGTATATATAATAGCGCATAAACAGGTATCAGATATTATAGATCTAGTTTCCTATTTTAGGTAAAGCTTGTAATTAGAATTATATGGGCAATCGGAATTATATGAATTATATAAGATCATGTTTCCTAGTTAAGTAAAGTGCTTTGCAGGCTTGGCTAAGTACTAGGAAACATATAGGGAAATGCTCCTAGCTTTAGAAAGGGGCATTAATTAGTTTTTTATTAGAATTAACTCTTGGAATTAGTTATACTTGCAAGCGTTACTCTATAGCTTACTTACCTTAACTACTTGTATATTACCCTACTATTACGTGCCTTATATTCTAATTAATCTAACCTTTGGAGAGCAGTTTATTACGAGATAATTAAGCTATTAATAGATAAAATATTAATAGCTAGAGTATTAACCAGAAGAAGCGCCTCTACTACTACTAGGGCAATCTAACCGGGTATCTAGGGGAGTGCCTAGTCAAGCACTCTTTATACTACCTAATTAGGAGAAGAAAGTAGAACTTAAATGCCCCTAGAACTAGCAGGTAAAATAATAATAATAGAGAAATTAGCGGCGGCTCGCCGTCGCATTACTAAGTTAGAAATAGAGATATAATAAAGAAAAGATCTAGATAAGCTAGAAGCTCAGATCTATTATCTTAAAGATATTCGAATACCCGGTATAGAACCCATTATACCTCTGGCAGTATCCTTAGTTCAGAGAGCTCCAAAAACCCAAGAACTGCCTACTTACCGGGAAAAAAGTATTA